AGAGCACCCACAGGGACCTGGCTCGCTAAAGGGGCTGTGTCAGGGTCTGGGATACGGTAACTCCCTGTCCCCAAGCAGGGAGAGAGCTCAGCTGTGGTGGCTCAGCCTGGCACAGGCTTTGCAGTGGCGATCACTGTGGGAAGGCCAGGCTCCCCATTGCTAGAAGCTCTGTACAGGGCTGGCGGAGGAAGCCATGGGTGGTGTGCAGCCACAAGAAGACTGATAGCTCCACAGATCTCAGGGACAAAGCTGTGTATCCTCAGGCACCTTCTTCTGGCACCTCATCCAGTGCTGAGTGGGGGAGGGAGCTGGGATTATGGGTCCAGAGAGATGGGCCAGGGAGGGTCAGGGCAGGGCCTGTCTGTGCTGAGCAGGGGCAGGGAGCTGTGTTGGGTGGAAACTGGCAAATTTCCATGTACACAGACATCTCTCTCCAATGGAGCACTCAGAGCCCTTTCCCTACCCACTGGGATCTCATTTTATCGCCATCCAGCCCAGCCTCCTGCAGAACCCAGCTAGTTAACCCATCATCTCCCGCAGCTATTCCTGCCCCCCGGCCCAGTAACTCCTGGCTGAGCTAGAGCAGAGCTTTGAGAGAGAGACGCCTCATCTCCATTGACAGACTCCCAGGGATGGAGAATCCACCCCATCCTGAGGGGAGCTCTCCCAATGGTTCATTCCCCTCCCTGATAAACACAGGCCCCTTATTTCCAGTCTGAATTTATCTCCCTTCTACTCCCAGCCAGTGGATCGTGCTCTGCCTTTGTCTGGTGGTTAAAGGTCCCTCTGCTCTCAGCCATCCTCTCCCCAGGTCAGTGTCACAGCCTGGAATCCCAGCACCACACTAAGGGTCTTTCTTCACTGCAGAGCTAGCCTGGGCATGGAAACCCCCGCTACTAAGCACTACCCATGCCAGACCCATGTAACTGCACCCTAATATTACTGCGCTAGCTGTGTACTGGAGTGGGTTTCTGGTGGGATATATCCTGGTGCTGAGCAGTACGTTAATCTGAGCTGCTCTCTCATTTCATTCACAGGGTGCTCTCTCTCTCCTAGCACAGAGCTGCTATCTGTGCAGTGACAAGGGAAAAGCAGTTGCATGTACATAACTCACAGGTGAAGTGCCTGATGATCAATGGAAGCCATCCTGGAGGTGAAAGCTAACAGCTTTTGGCAACAAGAATTCTAATGGGAATGTCTGTCAGCCATTCAGTCTGCAAACCACACAGTGCATCACTGAGCATCGCTCAGCTGACAGTTCTGCCTCTCTGGGTCATAGAACCACAGGGCTAGAAGGGACCGCAGGGGTCATCTAGTCCTGTGGGTCTCAACCAGGGGCATGCGCACCCCTGGCGGTATGCAGAGGTCTTTCAGGGGGTACATCAACTCATCTAGATCAGTGGTCATGGGACAGGTTAAAGGCAGTTATAGACAGGTACCCCTGTGAAGCTAAGCTACATACTTCAGCTCTATGTGGTAGGGCTTGGACTTCAGCCCCACTGCCTGTGGCTCCGGCTTCAAACAAGGCTCACAAGTGAAAAACGGACTCAAGTATCACACTGAAAAGTAAGAACAATATTTATATTCCAATTGATTAATTGTATAATTATATGGCAAAAATGAGAAAACAAGCAAATTTGTCAGTGCTAGTGTGCTGTGTCACTTTTGTATTTTTATGTCTGATTTTGTAAGCAAGTAGTTTTTAAGTGAGGTGAAACCTGGGGACACGCAAAACAAATCAGACTACTGAAAGGGGTACAGTAGTCTGCAAAAGGTTGAGAACCACTGATCTAGTCTAACCCCCTGCAAGATGCAGGATTTGTTGTGTCTAACTGTGACTGGGGTCCTAGCTGTGGTCACTCAATTAGGGTGAACTGCAAAGAATAGGGCAGACAATCCCCATAAAGCTGGTGGATATTCTAATACTTAGATTCACCAAGCCAGCATAAAACAGCTTCTTTATTACCTTACTGGTTATTCAGAAGTCCAAACAACACAGTTCCCTGAAAGAGATCCAGCCTCAGGCCCTCATCCAGGTACCCACGTCAAATATGAAAATTTCTGTAAATCTTATTTCATCATATAAAAGAAAAGGTTCTGCCAATCCCAAAGGATCGGACACATTACCTCCCAGGTTATTGAATATTTCAGATCTTACCCAAATACACACTACAGCCAATTCTTATGAACTAAACTCAACTTTATTAAAAAACGAAAGAGAGAGAGTATGGTTAAAAGATCAATATACATACAGACATGAGATCGATTCATTGAGGTTCAGATTCATACCAGAGATGGTGAGTTTTGTAGCTGCAAAGAGTTCTTTAAGAAATAGTTCATAGTTTATAGTCCAATGTCCAAATCCCATATTCAGGGCTTACCAGCATAACTGGGACCTCAGTCTTGCGACTCAAACTTCCCCTGAGGAAGCCTAAGCAGATCTGAGATGACAGAATCAGGACCCAAGGATCTTTTATACAATTTCATGTCTTTTGACAAGTTGGAGTTCCACAGGGAACAAAAGGTAATTAGGATGACTTTGAAGGAGGTCCATCACCAGTACTTAGCTATACGAATTAACATAAGGCCATTTGCTTGTTCCTCCACTATTCACAATACATTACAACTAATTTAAATGATATCAGAATACAGCATAGACAGGGACTGTTGATTACATTGTGGACCCTACTCATACATATATAAATACACAAAAACACAAACATTATCTCCCCACATGTCTTTTGAGGGTTATTTATTTTCCAGGATGTTTAACCCTTTCTAGCCATGCGTCACACTAACCCATCCAAGACAGATGGCTCCAGCCTCCTTTTGAAAACCTCCAGTGAAGGAGCTTCCTTGACCGCCCTAGGCAGGTCTGTTCCATTGTCCTCCTGTTCTTACCGTTAGGAAGTTTTTTCAGAGATTTACTCTTAGGCTTTGACCATACTACACAGCTTTTAGCGACATGGCCGTGTTGACACAGCCGTGTCGCTAAAAGACGGGCAGTGTCGTCACGGTTTGTCGGCACTCTTGCCAACAAAATACTTGCACCCCCAATGAACAGAGCGCTCCTGCCGACAACACACTGTTCACAATGACACTTGCCATGGCAAAACTTTTGTTTTGTTCACACCCCTGAACGACAAAAGTTTTGTCGCTCAATTGCCAATATAGACATAAATCTTCTGAGCTGTAGTTTGAACCCATTGCCTCTTGCCTTTTTTCTCCATCTTTTTTCAAGTATTTGAAGACCGCTATCACATCCCCCTTTAATCTCCTCTTTTCCAAACTAAACATACCCAGTTTCTTCAGCCTTTGCTCTTCTGACTTGCATTCCATCCCTTTGGTCATCTTTGTTGTTCACTTCTGGGTCCTTTCTAGTTTCTCTCTACATCCTTTCTATACATTGGTGACCATAATTGGACACACTACTCCAGCTGAGGCCTAACCAGTGCCGAGGAGACCGGTACTATCACCTCCCGTGACTTGCAGATTCTGCCTCTGTTAATGCAACCTAAACTTGCATTTGCTTTTTTTTGCAACAGCATCGCAGTGCTGGCTCATGCTGTGGTTGTGATCCACCACCACTCCCAGATCCTTCTCAGCAGTGCTGCTGCCAGGACAGTTTCCCCCCATTCTGTATGGGTGCATTTGGTTTTTCTTCCCTAAGTGCAGCACCTCACACTTGTCTATGTTGAATTTCATTTTTTTTTTTTGGCTGTAGCCCAGTTCTCCAATTTATCAAGATCCCTTTGAATTTTAGCTCTATCTTCCAAAGTGTTGGTTACCCCCCCGCCCCCCCGTCCAGCTTTGTGTCATCTGCAAACGTAATCATTGGGAAATCCTGCCCATAAAACCTTTCCCCCATGATCTGGGAGGCTTCTGTCCAACTGGCAGGAGGGAGGAGGAGTTCTCTGTCCAAACGCTGTGGAAGCTCTAAGCACAGCGGAAACGGAGCAGGCTAATGTGGGGTTAAAATGCAGGGCACAAGTAGGGAGGAGTTAGACGCTGTAGGGAAGCCCAGCCCAAAGGCGGAACTGGAGAGAACAACAGCGGGTTTGATGAGCCTGCAGCTTTCTCACTGCACACAGACAGCAGGGGCTTGCCAGCGAGGCTGAACAAAACCCCAGCGCTTGCCGGTGGGGAGGGTTGGGGCCAAGTGCAGGGGAGGATGCACGTGGGGGCCATGGGCATGTGGAGAGTGATGCTAACAGAAGGAGTTGGGGGGTGTTTGTGTAAGAGGAGGTGGAGGATTACAAAGTGTGTGAGCTGAGGGGGGAACCGACCCACCCAGCATCCCATTCGCCTCCTCTGGGGTCAGGCCAGCTGGACATTTGTCAGAGCCAGCGTGGGCCCCATGCTGGGTGGGCGGCAGATTCAGCCCAACTAACCCATGGTTATTTCCAGCCAATTTCCCTATGTAGACAAACCCTAATAACGCAGCTGCAACCCCATATCACCCTACATGGGGCAAGGAGGGGGCTGGCTGTGCGGGGGGGGGGGGGGGGGGGGCCCTGGAGGTACATGTGGAGGGATGGACAAGGAGGGTTGGAAAGGGACCTGTCTGTGCTGGGTGGGGGCAGGAAGCTGTGGGTAGGAGTGGGAGAGGTGAGCAGGGGTCTTTCTGTTACGATTTTTTCTCTGGAAGCTCTGCATGTGACTGTCCTAGGGCCACACACAGAGTCTGACAGAGCAGGGAACTGAACTCGGCTTTCCCAGGTCCCTGGCTTGTGCCCCTCATTGCCCTATCCCCACTCTGGGATGATTCTCTAACAAGGAGAGGTGGTCACTAGCTGGCTGTAAGAACACACAGTTTTTCTGGCAGGGAAGGCTGCATCCACACTAGGAGGACAGGAGTGTTAGCAAACACGAGGCACAATCCCAGGGACAACTCGGCCATTGTTGTTTTTACCAGGAGTTAGCAGACTGAGCTAAGCGCTCAAATCCCTCGGTACCATGGAATTGCCCCCTCACTGTCTGTGTTTCCCTTGCCCTCTCAGGAGCTGCAGGAGAAGCCCCTCTTTCCAGACAGCAGCATTGCCGGCTCCAGGAGGTCGCTCTGGTTTTGCAAGACAGTTTGTGCTTCTGGGCCCTCGCATCTGATCCCCCATCCGGATCACCTGGTGTCAAAAGCGGGACACTGGGGTAGGAAGCCGGAGGCTGGATGCTTTCTGCCAGGGGCATGAATGAGCCAGAAAGGCCTGGGGTCTGGGCTCATCCCCTGCTGGGATAAGGACACCCCAGGGAGCAGCCATGGCTGCAGGGCAGGGGGCACAGGGGGCCCTGGACCTGCAGTTTCAGATCCAGGTGGAGCAGTCGGTGTGTCCCGCTGGGCTGACGGAGCAGCAGGCCTCAGCTGGGCCCGAACCAGATGCGGGATTGGAGCGGGCGGGCGGGCTGCCTATTGTGGTGCAGTCCGGCACCATTGGGGAGCTGCTGAGATGGGTGGCACCGCAACAGGCCCGGTATGCGTCGCAGAAGGAGATGCTGCAGCACTGGGAGGACGTCTGGCAGGAGGTGCTGCAGGCCCTGCACATCCTTCCGGAGGTGGGGCCGGCTCCGGCCTGCATCCTCGGGCACGGAGAGCCAGAACTGCCGCCCCCTCCCAGAGTTGTGCCAGCACCGACTTGTGCACGTGGGTGTGAAAACCCCACCTCCCAGGGGGGCAGAGAGTCACCCAGGGGTCTGGAGCAGGCTGGGATCGAGCCGAAGGAGGAGACGGCACCGTGCCGAGAGGAGCAGCTGTCAGCCCCGCAGACCCCTGCCGAGGTTAATCCAACTCCAGCACCTACATGGGGAACCCTGCAGCTGCCACAGCTGGCGCCAGAGGACGATATCGAGGCCTATCTGGCCACCTTTGAGCAGGTGGCTGATGCCTGCCAGTGGCCGAGAGGGGAGTGGACAACCCGACTGGAGCCGTACCTCACCGGGAAAGCCCAGCTGGCCTTTGGTAGCCTAGACATCACAGAGACAAGTGACTATTGGAAGGTGAAGGCGACCATCCTGCGTCGCTATGGCATCAGCCCAGAGACACAGCGCAGGCGCTTCAGGGAATTCTGTTACCAGGAGGCCAAGGGGCCCCAGGAGGTTTACAGCCACCTCCGGGAGCTCTGCCATCGCTGGCTGGAGCCGCAGAGCCGCACCAAGGAGCAGATCCTGGAGATGCTGATCCTGGAGCAGTTCCTGACCATCCTGCCGGAGGAAATGCAGAGCTGGATCTGGGAAAGTGGTCCCGAGACCGGCGCCCAAGCAGTGGCCCTGGCAGAGGGGTTCCAGGTGGGGCAGCCAGAGATCGAATGGCCGGGGCTACAGGTGAGAGTTTAACTCCAGTTATCTCAGTGAGGGACCAGGGTGGGAAGGGGAGATAAACCGTGGAAGCCACAGGGGAGCCAGGGTTCCTGTATTTGTCTCCGTAAAGCCTTGCTCAAGAGTCTCCATAGCATGTGGGTGCTTTAGAGTTTGGGTTCCCAACATGAGTCAACTGGGGCCTGATGGTTCAGATGCTGCGCAGCTAAAGTTGTGTTATCTTTAGCACATCCCCCTGGAAAGCTGGCCCCACCCGTCTCCCAGCTGGACAACTAAAAACTGTCATGCCCCAAGTTAGCGGCCACTCCTGGGCATCGGAGCACTTGTGGGCTCATGTGGCCCCAATAACTTAGAAGGTGTCATAAATATAAAGGGAAGGGTAACCACCTTTCTGTATACAGTGCTATAAAATCCCTCCTGTATATTTATGACAGAAGGGACAATGGGAGAGATCTCGGCTAGCGAGGCGGCCAGTGCTGCTAATCAGGGGATTTTGAGGGAGTGAATCTGCCACACTTGGCGTCACCTGTGCTAAGACGTTCCGAGAGGCCGGAAAATATACCACTGGGGAGAGTGGGAGACGGTCTGCTCTCATTTAAAGTCTCCCTTAAAGCAGTGACATCTCAGCACTCTCTCCCGCAGTTCCTTGAGTTCCCAAGTACGCAGCCCAGCTTTGGATCTGAACAGGTTTGGTTTGAGCTGAAAAGGCCCAGTGTTGAGTCTCCGTGAGAGTCTGAGAGTCACTCTGTGAGGGTGGCCATTTTGAAGGGAACGTGCTTCCCAGAATGGAGGAGGGCCTCATGCTGTCGTGCCAGCCTGGTCCCCAGATTCGCTGTGTGAGAGTATTTTTCTTGCAGGGAACGTGCTCTCCAAATTGGAGCACTGCACGCTGACAGGCAGGCCACCTCCTCACCAGAGATACCGTCCAGGGTACAATGTGGTTATTGTTTGATGTGGCTGTGAACACCACTCCCCACACTAATCCCCACCATGCACACCCCATTTCTGTGCATCTTGTTTCCTTTGACATTGGCCCTGTGTCATGGAGTCACCGGGACGATGCTCTGGAACTACTCCCTATGAAGTGAGCCAGGACTCTGGGGGAGCCTCCTCTCTCTGAGCATATTGTCTCCAGGGCAAGAAGCTTACACAGCTTTGACCTTCTGGGTCTGACCTCAGAGCATTCAGCATCCCCTTCCACACTGTACTCTTCCCGCAGCGAGTCCGCCCGGGCGGGGCTCCTGGGGAAGCCAGAGGGTCCTGCACCCCAACTCCGCAGTCAGATGTGACTCTCAGCCAGCCAGTAAAACAGAAGGTTTTTTAGTTGACAGGAACACAGCATAGGGCAGAACTTGTTAGCACAGAAATCAGTGACTTTCAGCCAAGTCTATCTTGTGGGGAGGAGAGCCCAGAGCCAGGGCTCTGGTCCTCTCCCCTGCGCCCCAAGCCAGCTGAGACTGACTCGCTTCCAGCTGGAGCAGCCCCCGCAAAAGTCACACACCCTTATTCCCACCACCTAGACATTGGTGCAATACACAGGGAAACTGAGGCACACACTGCATTCATGCAATAAGACTCACAAAGGCTCACATACAACCTAACAAGGGAAAATCCCCACTACGTCGCACCCTACCCTGCTTTCGTGCATGATCTCCTAATTCCAGGGATAGGCCCCAGAGCAGCTGGCCCTGAGCGGGGCAGGGGAGGACTGGCACGAGCGTAGTGCGGGGGAGGAGTTGTCCCTGGCACAGCTAGCTCGCAGCAGGGAGTTATGCCGGGAGTGGTCAGTGCTGAGGTGGATGTTTTTGTGGTTGCAGATGCCAGTGCAGTTCAAGGATGTGGCTGTGACTCTGGCTGAGGCAGAGTGGTTGCTGTTGGATGAGGAGCAGAGGCAGCTGTATGGGACTGTCATGCAGGAGACTTACCGGAGCATTAGCTCACTGGGTTAGTTGGGTGATTATCCAAACTTCTCGCCTCATGTGGAAGCTCTGGGCAGAGCTGACTGGAAAATCGTAAACCTTTTCCACCGAAAAATTGTTTTGAAAAAAACTAAAAATATTTTTTTCACAAATATTTCAAGTTTTCCAACAAGAACCAAATTGTCTGTCTCTGTTTTTTTTCCCCCCATTTTTTCCTTTCTCTCTCACATGACTTTTACTGTTTTGGTACTGGGGGAATAAAGGAAAAATGAGAGAGGAAAAAACAAAAACTGGAAACTCTTTTGTTGAAAAGTAGATCTTTTTTACATGGAAATAAAGTCTGTTTTTCATCCAAAAATTTTGTCAAACAAAAAAATGTTGACTAGCTCTGGCTGTGGGTAGACCTGGACAGAAAATGGAGATTTTTTCCCATGGAAAGTTTCAGTGGAAACTAATTTTTGTTTTGGGTTTTGTATAAATTTTCAGTGAAAAAAACAAAAAATGTTGAGCAAAGCAGAAAATTTCCACTCATTTTTTTTGTTCAATGTCCCAGTTTTAGTTGAAAATAAAGTTTGGATGGCTCGTCTTTGAGCAGTTCCCTTGGTGAGTTCTCTGCTATGCCCAGGTCTGGCGGGCTCCTGGTAGCACAGTGAGGAACCAGAATTTTTGGCTTGTGAGACAGTTCACTTTTCTAAAATTCAGACAACAAAGTCAGAAATTTTAGAAATTTCCCATGGAACTGAAATATTTGAAAAATTCTGTGTCAGAAGAACCAAAATTGAATTTATAAACATCTCTCAGGGAGCCAGCCAATCTTGCAGCTTCATGATTTTCACTGAAACTGTTGTGTTGGAAAATTTTTCACACATCTCTAGATGCAGGCTATTCCCTGGTCTCTTGGGGTCCTGGTGGGAGGTGACGTGAGAATCCCAGGCTAACCTTTGCACCCCTTGTTTTCAAGGAGACTGAGAAACACAGTACATGCACATAAAGCATAGGTCTGCTCCAAACTTTCCCATCAAAATTATTTTCTATGGAAATTGGATTTTTCAACAAAACTGACATTTTCACAAAAACTTTCCATCAAATATGTTGTGTGTCCACTGCTGAAAACCCCCAATGTGTGTGTATTCATCAAAAGCCTGAAAAGGTTAAAAAAAAAAAAAGACCCCCCTTTTAATCAACATTTTTTTTAAAAGTAATTTCCTGAGCATCTCTGTGATGGGCTAGAAGCAAGAATCGCTGGGTGGCCTGGGTTATGCAGGAGCAAGTCTGGTCAAAACTCCAAATTTCTGTTTCGTTTTGACATTTAAAAATTTGTTTTCACCCTGAATCAGAACAAAACCAAATATTCTTGTAATTTCCCATGAAACAGAAATTCTAAAAATTATTGTTTTAAAATGTGTTTTATTTTCATTTTTATATTATTTGTACATTATTTCATGACATACGGTGCACATTAGGACGTGCCCTCTCATGTCATGATTTGTAATCTCATGACATAATAGTCAAAATATTTATTTATTTAATAGACTAAGGCAGGGGTCTCCAATGCTCTGCCTGTGGGCGCAATGGTGCCCCCTGGGGCAGTTGTGTGTGCCGCCGAAATGCCGCCGCCGAGCGCGGCCTCAGGAGAACCACCCGCTGAAATGCCGCCGAGAAGTGTTGCTACTTCTCGGCGGCATTTCGGAGGCGAGGATTCTTTCCGCTGCCGCTTCTCAGAGGCATTTCGGCAGTGGGGTGTTTGGCGCCCACCACAGTCTTTTGGGAATAGGAATGTGCTATTCCCACAGAAAGGTTGGGGACCACTGCACTAAGGGCTGTGACTGCTTAGTACAGATTAGAACATCTTGACTTATTTTCTAGATCAAAATGTCTATTTATGTTGCAGGGAAACAGTTTGATACCTGTGGAATTAACATGATGTAAATCTTGGAGCTATCATGACGTTCTCTCTGTTCTACCCCTTCCCCCACCCTATGTTTTGTCTATTTAGATAATGTTACCACATTGTTTCCTTGTATTCCTCCGTCTGTCTATAGATCTGTTGTCTCTTGTCATGTACTAGACTATGAGCTTTTTCGGGTACACACTGTTTATTTGTTGTGTGTTTGTACAGCGCCTGGCGCAATAGGGTCCTGCTCCACGACTGGGTCTCCACCATAACACAAATAAATAAGAAACCGCAGCACAAACCGGAGACACTTTGAACTATGTTCTGTGATGCACTGCTCATAATGTAAACAATGTAATTTAGAAAATATTCAAAACAACATTTATTTTGCAGTATTTGCATTTTTATATTTTCCAAAGAATGTTCATTTTGAAAATTATTTGCTTGTGTGAAAAATTTCCTTTAGTTGAAATGGCATTGTCCAAAGGAAACATTTTTTTGTAGAATTTTACCCAACCGGCTCAGTGCAGGAGGCCAAACTGTCTGGATAGAATGGGCCTTGCTGGCCTTTGAACCTGTGATGCCGTCCTGGGGTTCTCTATCTGAGTACACGCATGCCCACACACACTCGCTGCCTGTACTCCCTGCCTGCCTGAGCTGGGGTTCGAACCTGTGACTCCACCCCAGAGTTCCTAAAAGGGCCTAGTCCCTGTCCGAGTACATCCGCATGCATTGTCTGTATTTTCTGCGTGTGTGAGCTTGAGGTTCCTGCTCCAGCGGAGAGTGCTCTTATCTGTCTCTGGGGGTTCAGAGTTGTCACCGTTGGGTTGTGCCTGCCCCTCCTCCCACTGGTTGTCCCACTTCCCCATCGTCCCCTCCCCAGCAGAGAGGGACTTTTGTACCAAGCCCTGGGGCTCGCTGATTGCGCCCTCATTGCTTCTTTTCTTTTCCCCATTGGCAGGTTGTCCGGTTCGCAAACCCACCCTGATCTCTCAGTTGGAGCGAGGGGAGGAGCCATGCATCTCAGATCCCCCAGCCCCTGAGAAGCAGGAGACCCAGAGGGACGTCCCAACAGGTGAGGGATGAATCAGCCAGCTCAGAAAGCAAAATCCTGGGATCCCAGCCACAAGTTCCCATGGCAGTGCCTCCTGACTCTGTCTGCTGAGCCAGAAAAGGCAGAGCTTAGCCACAGAGCCAGGAGCTCCTGCAGCCCTGCCCCACAGCCAGATCCACTGAGCCTTGGGAGAAGGCAGAATCAAGACATGCTCTGCCTTTCCTTTCCACTCCTCACCACGGTGAATCCAGGTGTGAGACACTCACCGTCACCACTTCCAAGCTACTGTTACTCTGACATCCACCAGGCTTGGCTGTGCACAGAGATTCAGCAGTGCAGATAGCTGCATGATCGGGAAGTGTGGCCTGGTGCTTAATTGCTGGCCTTGGATGCTGAAGACCTAACTTCTGTTTGACCTCTGACACAGACTCCCTGTGTGACATTGGGCAAGTCATTTAGTCCCTGTGTGTGTCAGTTCCCATCTGTACACTGGGGATAACAGCCTTGCTCTGCCTCCCAGGAATGCATGTGGATAAACACATTAAGGATTGTGAGGTGCCTACATACTATGGTGCTGGGGCCTGTCACTACCAGAGATAGATAGACATTTAGAATCTTAGGATTGGAAAAGACCTCAGGAGGTCATCTAGTCTAACCCCCTGCTCAAAGCAGGACCAATCCCCAACTAAATCATCCCAGAGAGGGCTTTGTCAAGCCTGCCCTTAAAAACCTCAAAGGATAAAGATTCCACCACCTCCCTAGGTAACCCATTCCAGTGCTTCACCACCCTCCTAGTGAAAAAGTTTTTCCAAATATCCAACCTAGACCTCCCCCACTGCAACTTGAGATATTGCTCCTCGTTCTGTCATCTGCCACCACTGAGAACAGTCTAGATCCATCCTCTTTGGAACCCCCTTTCAGGTAGTTGAAAGCAGCTATCAAATCCCCCCTGATTCTTCTCTTCTTCAGATTAAACAATCCCAGTTCCCTCAGCCTCTCCTCATAAGTCATGTGTTCCAGTCCCCTAATCATTTTTGTTACCCTCCACTGGACTCTTTCCAATTTTTCCACACCCTTCTTGTAGTGTGGGGCCCAAAACTGGACACAGTACTCCTCACCAATGCTGAATAGAGGGGAATGATCACATCCCTCGATCTGCTGGCAATGCCCCTACATATACAGTCCACAATGCTCTTAGCCTTCTTGACAACAAGGGCACACTGTTGACTCATATCCAGCTTCTTGTCCACTGTAATCCCTAGGTCCTTTTCTGCAGAACTGCTGCCTAACTATTCGGTCCCTAGTTTGTAGCAACGCATGGGATTCTTCCATCCTAAGTGCAGGACTCTGCACTTATCCTTGTTAAAACTCATCAGATTTCTTTTGGCCCAATCCTCTAATTTGTCTAGGGCCGTTTGTATCCTATCCCTACCCTCCAGCGTATCCACCACTCCTCCCAGTTTAGTGTCATCTGCAAACTTGCTGAGGGTGCAATCCACACCATCTTCCAGATCATTTGTGAAGATATTGAACAAAACCGGCCCCAGGACCGACCCTTGGGGCACTCCGCTTGATACTGGCTGCCAACTAGACATGGAGCCATTGGTCACTACCCGTTGAGCCCCATGATCTAGCCAGATTTCTATCAACCTTATAGTCCATTCACCCAGCCTATACTTCTTTAACTTGCTGGCTAGAATACTGCAGGAGACCATATCAAAAACTTTGCTAAAGTCAAGGATTAACACATGTGCTGCTTTCTCCTCATCCACAGAGCCAGTTATCTCAGCAAAGAAGGCAATTAGGTTAGTCAGGCATGACTTGTCCTTGGTGAATCCATGCTGACTGTTCCTGATCACTTTCCTCTCCTCTAAGTGCTTCAAAATTGATTCCTTGAGGACCTGCTCCACGATTTTTCCAGGGACCGAGGTGAGGCTGACTGGCCTGTAGTTCCCCGGATCCTTCTTCTTCCCTTTTTTAAAGATGGGCACTACATTAGCCTTTTTCCAGTCATCCGGGACTTCCCCCGATTGCCATGAGTTTTCAAAGATAATAGCCAATGGCTCTGCAATCACATCCGCCAACTCCGTTAGCACTCTCAGATACAGCGCATCTGGCCCCATGGACTTGTGCTCATCCAGCTTTTCTAAATAGTCTTGAACCACTTCTTTCTCCACAGAGGGCTGGTCATCTCCTCCCCATACTGTGCTGCCCAGTGCAGTAGTCTGGGAGCTGACTTTGTTTGTGAAGGCAGAGGTGAAAAAAAAAAGCATTGAGTACATTAGCTTTTTCCATGTCCTCTGTCACTAGGTTGCCTCCCCCATTCAGTAAGGGGCCCACTCTTTCCTTGATCACCTTCTTGTTGCTAACATAGCTGAAGAAACCCTTCTTGTTACTCTTAACATCCCTTGCTAGCTGCAACTCCAGGTGTGATTTGGCCTTCCTGATTTCTCTCCTGCATGCCTGAGCAATATTTTTATACTCCTCCCTGGTCATTTGTCCAGTCTTCCACTTCTTGTAAGCTTCTTTTTTGTGTTTAAGTTCAGCAAGGATTTCACTGTTAAGCCAAGCTGGTTGCCTGCAGTATTTGCTATTCTTTCTACACATCAGGATGGTTTGTTCCTCCAACCTCAATAAGGATTCTTTAAAATACAGTCAGCTCTCCTAGACTCCTTTCCCCTTCATGTTATTCTCCCAGGGGATCCTGCCCATCAGTTCCCTGAGGGAGTCAAAGTCTGCTTTTCTGAAGTCCAGGGTCCGTATTCTGTTGCTCTCCTTTCTTCCTTGTGTCAGGATCCTGAACTCGACCATCTCATGGTCACTGCCTCCCAGGTTCCCATCCACTTTTGCTTCCCCTACTAATTCTTCTGGTTTGCGAGCAGCAGGTCAAGAAGAGCTCTGCCCCAGCTGGTTCCTCCAGACCAGGGGTGGCCAACCTGAGCCCGAGAAGGAGCTAGAATTTACCAATGTACATTGCCAAAGAGCCACAGTAATAAGTCATCAGCCCCCCATCAGCTCCAGCACCTCCCACCCACCGGCAGCCCCACTAATCAGCGCCTCTCCCTCCCTCCCCGCACCACCCGATCAGCTGTTTCATGGTGTGCAGGAGGCTGTGGAGGGGAAGGGGGGGAGGAGCGAGGGCATGGCAGGCTCAGAGGAGGGGGTGGGAAGGGGTGGAGTGGGGGCAGGGCCTGTGGCAGAGCCAGGGGTTGAGCAGTGAGCACCCCCCGGCACAGCTTCATACCGGAGCTCTGAGCAGTCATGCTGCTCTCTTACATACAGTGCAACTCCCCCACCTTTTCTGCCCTGCCTGTCCTTCCTGAACAGTTTCTATCCACCCATGATAGTACTCCAGTCATGTGAGTTATCCCACCAAGTCTCTGTTATTCCAATCACATCATAATTGCTTGACTGTGCCAGGACTTTCAGTTCTCCCTGCTCGTTTCCCAGGCTTCTTGCATTTGTGTATACTATAATATAACCTGTGTCTGTTAAACAGCTGCACTGGGCCGTGTGGACGGCGTTGTTCTGGTTTTAACCAAGTTTGTTTTGGTTCAGTTCCATGCAAGTGGAAATAGGTTAAGGGTAAGCCAAAGTAGGCACCTCCAGGTGGCAGTTTGCCCTGGTTTAGATAATGGGGTTACTTTGGAGCTGGCTGGAGATTTTTTCCATAACAAAGTGACGATTTGCCGAATTTGAAATGTTCCATAGAAACATCTCAGTTCTGACAGAATTTGGGCTGAAAGCAGGCTGGGGACTGACAGAAACCTGCCTGGTGTCTCGCCAGCTCGCCCCTCCCCAGCGCTTCAGCAGCTCCCCAGGAGGGCTGCCCCTGGCCTGGGGTTTCTGAACTACAGAGGCGCCAGGAATCTGGAAGCACTGGGATACCCGGCTCCCAAGGCCATCAGCAGCTGGCCTGGTGGCTGCCCCGGAGCGGGGGCTCCTAGGCACTTCCTGACAGGTTTCAGAGTAACAGCCGTGTTAGTCTGTATTCGCAAAAAGAAAAGGAGTACTTGTGGCACCTTAGAGACTAACCAATTTATTTGAGCATAAGCTTTCGTGAGCTTATGCTTAAATAAATTGGTTAGTCTCTAAGGTGCCACAAGTACTCCTTTTCTTTAGGCACTTCCTGACTCCACGGCACCTGCCTGGACGGGCAGCCGGGAATCCCAGGGAGCACATTTCATTTCACACACACAAACGTTCCTGCAGCTCAGTGTGTCCCAAAGGAAGTATTGCGGGGTCCAAGTTGTGGGGGAAATTTCCAGTTTTTGTTTTTTTGTGCCAATTCGGGACAAACTTTTTTCCAAAAACTCAAATATTTTTGTGAACTTTGAATTCCACGTTCCAGGCAGTGTTAGTTTAGATCCCTCTGCTGGCTTCCCCCTGCACCTGGGGCCCGGCTCACGCACCACTTCTCCCTTGGTCCCCGCAGACACCAGGAGGGGGCTGGACGCTGAGGAGCTGGCTGTGCCGCACCACGGGGAGGCGGAGGCACCTGTCAAAGCAGCTCCAACACCCAAGGCCTCACCAAGGTGGCCCAAGAGGAAAGCGCCCCAGAGCCCTGGCCGGAAGAGAAAGAAACCCTCTCTGGAAGGAGAAGAGCCAGAAGCCCCCTCTGAGGGTGGGAAGCAGCAGCTCCCCACCTGTCCCATGTACATGCAACAGCCGCTTCCTTCTGTGCGCATGCAAAAGCCTTTCCGTCCTGTACGCAGGAAACAGCCACCCCCACCCCTGCACCGGGAACAGCCTGTCCCTCCCGTGCGCAGGGAACAGCAGCCCTCCACTCTTGGCAGGGAACAGCCTGTCCCTCCCCTGAGCAGGGAACAGCTGCCCTCCACTCCTGGCAGGGAACATCCATCCCCTCCTAGGCACAAGGAACAGCCACTGTCTCCTCTGTGCATTGAACAGCTGCTTCCTGCCCTGCACAGGACACAGCCACACCCCACTCTCAGGCAGGCACAGCAGCCCCCTCTGTCATCGCCCGTTAATTCCTGCCGCAGGAACCTGTTCATGGGAGGCTCCCCCACTAGTAAGAGCCTGCCCCAGTCTGAGAGGTGCAACCAGTGCCCTGAGTGTGGCCGGGGCTTCAAGCAGAGCTCAGACCTGCAGCGGCACCGGCGTGTCCACACGGGAGAAAAGCCTTTCCACTGCCCAGTGTGTGAGAAGAGCTTCCGGCTGCAGTCCAACCTGATCGTGCACCACCGCACCCACACCGGGGAGCGGCCCTACCAGTGCGGGGAGTGCGGCCGGGCCTTCTCGCAGAGCTCCAGCCTCCGGACCCACAGCAAGATCCACCTGGGCCAGAAACCCTATGTTTGCTCTGTGTGCGGCAAGAGCTTCCATCACAACTCCAACCTCATCATCCACCAGCGCACCCACACCGGCGAGAGGCCCTACGAGTGCAGCGTCTGCACCAAGCGCTTCAGCGATCGCTCCACTCTGGTGCAGCACCAGCGCGTCCACACTGGTGAGCGCCCCTACGCCTGCTCCGAGTGCGGCAAGTGCTTCAGCCAGGCCTCACACCTGGTCAAACACCGACGCACCCACGTGGGCCCCTGCACCGTGCTGGCCAGGGACACAGCTGTCCCCCAAAACAGGCCTGGCACAGGGGAGAAGAGAGATGCTCCTAGACACAGACCAGACCGTGGGGTGGAAAGAGCCGCCCCCAGAGACTGGCCAGCCGAGGACAGAGCTCCTCCCAGACATGGGCTGAGAATGGGGGATGAGAGAGCCACTCCCCAAAATGGCCCTGGCACCAGGGAGGAGAGAGACAGGCATGGGCTGGGCACAGGGCAGGAAAAACAACATGGAAAGATGTGCAGTCTCTGAAAGATGTTTTGGCAAGGGAGAAGGAGAGAGAGGCCTCAAAAGAGACATCAGCCACAAGGAAGGACACAGCTACCTCCAGTCACACACCGGGCATAGGTACGGAGAAAGCAGCGACAAAAAATCATGTTGGCCACAGGGAAGGAAAGGTTGACCCCCAAACCTCGGGCCGATGAGAGGAGACCTGCCCCTCAAAATGGGCTGGGCACGGGGGAGAACAGAGCCACACCAGACAATACCCCAAAAAGCTACAACAAAAGAGGCACCAGCTGTGGATGAGGAGAGAGCTGCCTTGAGGGCACTGAGGGCGGCGAAGAACGAAGCAGCAACAAAAGATGCTTTAACAGAGGGGGAGAAGAGAGAGGCCTCAAGAGAGATAATGGCCACGGGGAAGGGGAGATCCACCCCCAAACCTGCACTGGCCATGGGGAAGGGGAGAGCCTCCTTGAAACGTGCTCCAGGTACACAAGAGCCCAGACTTCAGTGGAGCCTTCTCATGTCACTGCATGGTATGGAGAGGGATGATTCATGGGGGGCAGAGACTGTGGGGAGCCCTGTCACTGAGCAGTAGGGTTGGGGATGGCTCATAGGAACATGCATTAAGCTGGGGGTTCTCAGATCAGGTGTGAAACCCCATCAATGTGCAGGAGGGAAGTAATGCCAATGCCATAGGCTCACACTTAAGCAGCGACGGAGAAGCTGGCCTGTCATGGGATGCACTCACAGCTCGGAGAGGACAGGCAGCACGAAGGCACTTCTGGCACCACCGAGAAGCTCCGCTGGACCCGGAGCTGGTGGAGCGAATGGCTGGCACTTAACATGCCACCACAGAAATATGTTCAGGTTCTTGCCAAAAATGGTCTGCTATCAGATGTTTGGTTTTCCGACAGAAAGTAGCTCTGTAGTGCAGTGAGTGGATGTCCCCTCCCCGAGTCCCCCAGAGCACAATTGTAGAGGCCTCCAGGATGAGTGGGGACAATGTTACAGAGGTGGCAAAAGGGACTGTCATGGCATCACTCACCACACTGGAGCCTCCTGCTGGGCGTTTTGGGAATTAGCTCAGTCCCAGCGGGTGCACCCTTGGGTGGTGGTGGGTCTCCTGCCCTCGTCTCCATCTGCAGGCCCCTTATGACCCGTTAAGCTCTACTTCGTGGCACAGCTCTCCGGCTGTGTCACCATCCGGTTCCCCCATTCCGGGGAACTCCTCCAACAAGAGTTCAGCCACTCCTCCCAGTGGCTTGGCAGTCCACAGCTGGGGCGCTCCCTCTGCAGCTAGTGGGGGAGGGGGCCTAGGCCCACCCACTGCTCCGGGCCCCAGCCCAGGGACCCTGCAAACAGCAGCTTCCTGCTGACTTGTCCTTCCAACCCATTGTCTCTAGTCCCAGGGCCACTTCCCCACAGCCTCAGTTCCTTCTGCTCCTGCATGGCTCCAGCTCCTTTGCCCTCTTCCCAGGGCCTCGAGCCTATAAGTCCTGGCAGCCCTTCCGGAGCTCTCCCTAGCTCCCCTGGTCCCTGCTAGCACCTGCCCTTCCCCAGGTGCTGGTCTCTCTGTAGCCCTCTAGGAAACCAGTCTTCTCCCTAGGGCTCCCTGCAGCAGACTCCCTCACTGTGGTCTACAGCTTCCTTTTATATGGGCCAGCTGGGCCCTGATTGGCTGGTCCAGCCACTGCCCTAATTGTCTGCAGCTGCTGCCCTAATTGGCTGTTTCCTCTGCAACCATTCCTTTGGCTGCCTGCCACTCAGCCTCCCTAGGCTGGTTTTAACCCTCACAGGGCCAGTGCAGGGCAGGCGCAGTCACAGGGACATACAGAGAATATACCATCTTTCTCCTGCTCTTAAGCAGAGGGGACCACTGGGCCCCCCCTAAGATACTTCATAGGCATCCACATCACCAGCATCAGCAGAGCTTCCCAGTTACAAGAGCAAGCAAACCATTTGCTTTCTAAATAAATTCATAACCTAGGCTCCACAATAACCTTAACTCTGACCCCAACCCAACTCATGAGACTATGGCACCATGTGTCATGACATACTAGTGGCTTATGAGGCTTCAGGGAGTAAGCAGGGCTGTTCTCATGCTGCTTCTGCATGTGCCTGAATTGAGAGGGGACGTGTTAGGGTTTGTTGCTGTCTCTGAGGCTGAAGTGGACGCAGGGTCCATTCAGAGGCCGGTGAATCAGGCTAGGGATAACGAGGTTAGTTCAATCAGGGAGGATGAGGACCAGAACTCCACTGGCCATCACATACAGTCCTCAGCTAAAACCTCTCCAACGCATCATCAGTGATTTACAACCCATCCTGGACAACAATCCCTCACTTTCACAGGCAGTGGGAGGCAGGCCAGTCCTCGCTCACAGACAGCCTGCTAACCTGAAGCATATTCTCACCAGCAACTACACCCTGCACCATAGTAACTCTAACTCAGGAGCCAATCCATGCAACAAACCTCGATGCCAACTCTGCCAACATATCTACACCAGCGACACCATCCCAGGATCTAACCAGATCAGCCACACCATCACCGGTTCATTCACCTGCACGTCCACCAATGTAATCTACGCCATCATGTGCCAGCAATGCCCCTCTGCTATGTACATCGGCCAAACTGGACAGTCCCTACATAAAAGGATAAATGGACACAAATCAGATATTAGGAATGGCAATATACAAAAACCTGTAGGAGAACATTTCAACCTCCCTGGACACACAATAGCAGATGTAAAGGTAGCCATCCTGCGGCAAAAAAACTTCAGGACCAGATTTCGAAGAGAAACTGCTGAGCTTCAGTTCATTTGCAAATTTGACACCATCAGCTCAGGATTAAACAAAGACTGTGACTCGTTCGCCAACTCCAAAAACAGTTTCTCCTCCCTTGGTGTTCACACCTCGACTGCTAGAAGAGGGCCTCACCCTCCCTGATTGAACTAACCTCTTTATCCCTAGCCTGATTCTTGCTTGCATATTTATATCTGCCTCTGGAAATTTCCACTACATGCATCCGACGAAGTGGGTATTCACCCACGAAAGCTTCTGCTCCAATACGTCTGTTAGTCTATAAGGTGCCACAGGACTCTTTGCCTGTATTTGGTGTTTGTTTTTTGTTGGCTTTTGAAAAAGAATTGTAAAACACATGTGTGACAATTTACTGTAGATGATTATATCTCCCCAATAGTGAGATTATGGGATGGAGCCAGCTTCTGGAAACCCTGACTCCGGTGAGTAGATCCCACTCAGAGGACCTGATCCAAAACCTTTTTGAAGGTCAATGGAAAGACTTAACTGGGCTTTGCCGTCAACAGGCCTAAGGGTTTGTCCAATGAGATGACTCAGATAGAATCATAGAAATGTAGGACTGGAAGGGACCTTGAGAAGTCATCAAGTCCAGCTCCCTGCCCTGAGACAGGACTAAGTAAACCTAGACCATCCTTGACAGGTGTTTGTCCAACCTGTTCTTATAAACCTCCAGTGATGGGAATTCCACAACCTCCCTTGGAAGCCTATTCCAAAGCTTAACTCCCCTTATAGTTAAAAAGTTTTCCCTAATATCTAACCTAGATCTCCTTTGCTGCAGATTAAGCCCTTTACTTCTTGTCCTGGCCTGAGTGTACATGTGCATGAGTTAAGTAAGATTTACTGGGTTTTTCCAGTATCATTTAATTCTCTCTATATATATTACAGAGCATCAGTAATTGCACCGGTTAGAGTGCAACATGATTTCATAGAATCACAGAATATCAGGGTTGGAAGGGACCTCAGGAAGTCATCTAGTCCAACCCCCTGCTCAAAGCAGGACCAATCCCCAACTAAATCATCCCAGACAGGGCTTTGTCAAGCCTGACCTTAAAAACCTCAAAGGAAGGAGATTCCACCACCTCCCTAGGTAACCCATTCCAGTGCTTCACCACCCTCCTAGTGAAAAAGTTTTTCCTAATATTCAATCTAAACCTCCCCCACTGCAACTTGAGACCATTACTCCTTGTTCCGTCATCTGGTACCACTGAGAACAGTCTAGATCCATCCTCTTTGGAACCCCCTTTCAGGTAGTTGAAAGCAGCTATCAAATCCCCCCTCATTCTTCTCTTCCATAGACTAAACAATCCCAGTTCACTCAGCCTCTCATCATAAGTCATGTGTTCCTGTCCCCTAATCATTTTTGTTGCCCTACGCTGGATGCTTTCCAATTTTTCCACATCCTTCTTGTAGTGTGGGGTCCAAAACTGGACACAGTACTCCAGATGAGGCCTCACCAATATCAAATAGAGGGGAACGATCACGTCCCCCAATCTGCTGGCAATGCCCCTACTTATATAGCCCAAAATGCTTACGAAAGGCTGTCAGTCAGGACCCTGTCCTTTCCTCCCCAGCAGGAGCTGTCAGTCAGGGTTGCATTCCCCAGCCGCCCTCCCCTGCCCACTCTCATGACCCCCACCTCACCAGGGCCAACCTGTACTATGCGGATACTTTTTGCCCTGCCCGGTGCCATCTCTAGTGGGTGTGAAGGTGCTCAGTACTGCCAAAGGCCCTGTCACAGTCCTGGCTGGGGTAGGGTAATCCTTTGTGTGGACTTGCTGGTGCTCAGTAAGTGTGCAGTGTTGTTGGAAGCGCTGGGCACACTGGTGGGGCCAGTCCCAGGGGCAGGCCCTGTGGGGGGCCATGTTGTCCTTCAGTTCCCCTTTTGCCACGGACCCTGTGGCACCTGCACCCCTGGCCTACCCCAGTGGGGAACTCTCCAGCCACTGCTGGCATCCAAAGCTGTTTGTCCTGGTGGAAGTCTACAATAAGCTCTCTCTGCAATTCCGTGAGAATGACCCATGTAGGCCCATGGATGTTACCTCCTTGTTCTCATTCAGGAGACCTTGATACCTGCTGGGATAAAGAGGGGAGCTGTTCAAAGGGTCCACTGTAGCTCAGCCATAGGTCAGAGGGCCAGATGCAGGAATTGCTGGGTGCGATTCTTTGACCAGTTTACGCAAGAGGTCAGACTGAATGGTGAGAATGGGCCCTTGTGGCCTTCACATCTATGGGACATGAGCTCTTTGCGGCAGACACTGTATCTCACTGCATATCTATGCAGCCACAGGCGCTGACTCTGTGTGGGTTCTCTGGGGCTGAGCACCCATGGGGAAAAATTAGTGGGTGCTCTACACCCACCAGCAGCCAAGCTCCCTGCCCCCCCCACCTCACCTCCTTCTCCACCTCCTCCGAGCATGCTGTATCTCCGCTCCTCCCTCCCTCCCAGCGCTTGGAGCTGCCAAACAGCTGTAGCAAGCTCTGAGATGGGGTGGGGAGGAGCGGGAACGTGGCATGTTCAGGGGAGGAGGCGGGGAAGAGGCGGGGCCAGGCAGGGATTTGGGGAAGGAGTCAAATAGGGGCAGGGAGGGGGCAGAGTTGGGGTGGGGACTCTGGGGAAGGGGTGGGAATGGGGGCAGGAAGGGGAGGAGTAGGGGTGGAGTCAGGGCCGGGGCAGGGGCAGACGGGGGTCGAGCACCCACCGGCACCAGAAGAAGTTGGCACCTATGTATTCAGCGCCCAACACAACAGGGCTCTGATCTTGGTCACCGTGTGTCTGTGCAGTGCCTGGCCCAACGGGGCCTGGAGCTAAGCTGGGGCCTGTAGGCACCACCATAACATAAATAATAGACTGAATAAGGCCAGGGAAATGTGTGCAGAATGCACTGTAGCAAGGTAACCTTTGGCTAAAAACCAGATGACAGAGCCCAACAAAAAATGACAAATTAGTTTTGGTAAAAATGCTGAAGTTGTTTTCAGTTCACAGGTTTTCAAACAGACTCATTTTTTGTTTTCCCTAAATTCTTTAAAAAGAAAAGGAGTACTTGTGGCACCTTAGAGACTAACCAATTTATTTGAGCATGAGCTTTCGTGAGCCACAGCTCACTTCATCAGATCAAATCCAAAATTCTTTGTGGAACATTTTTATAAGAAATATTATAAAAAATGTTAGTGACTCAACTTTTGCTAAATAAAATTTTCCATTTACCTTAAACAGTTTCAATGACCATTTTCATGACATTTTCAATAATGTTTCGATTTAAAAAAATGTGAAAATTAGCTTGAGACATAAAAAAGAAAGTTTTTAATGGAAAAAAACCTTTTCTTTTGAAAAATTGTCATCAGCTCTCTTCTCTCAAGGATTTGGGGAGCAATGCAGAGAGGTGTGGAGTCTTAGATGTGTTCAGAGCTGAGGTCCTGGAAAGTTAGTGGTCTCTGAGACCAGTTAAAAATTAGCCCAGTGACACATTTCCAAGGGTTGTAGGGCTCTGCACTAAGCTTTGACTCTCTGTTGCCATGACTAGGGCCTCGTTAACTTCCCCTCCATTCCAGATTGGGCCTAGTGTCACACCAATCCAAATTACAAGCTGTCCAGCAACAATGGAAACCTAAGGGTTTGATTTACACTGAACAGGGCTACTGATGTAGCTACTTTTCCAATGTGTACATAATTTCTCTCATCTACCCCGAGGCTCTCACTGAACCCAAGCAACACCCAGAATGATCCCCTACTCCAGAGCCCATCACAACCTCCTCCCAGCCCAGTCATTCATCTACCACCACAGCACACCCAGAGAGACGCACACCAAACCATACACACCCAGACACAGAGACATGCATCACACCACTGAGAAAAATTTCTGGATTCACACATTGCGCAATCCAAAATGGATCTTCCCACGACCTCAGTGGAGTGGACACACTCGCTGCCCAGGGCTCCCATCCCCACCTTGGGCACAGCCTCTGAAGTGGTGCAAAGGCCATCTTATGTGCTCTGCGGGCTGGCTGGGCCACTCCTCCCACCCTGTGGATCACAAGATGTGCCCCCTAGCTGGGGCGCTCCCAGCACCATCATAGAGTCAATCCTCACGTGACCGGGAGAGTATGCTGTGGGAAGCTTCCCTGGCAGGATCTCCTGTTGCTCTGTGGTCTCAATTGCTGTCTCCCCTTTGTACTATCCTGAGAACCTCCCAAGTAGTTCCCCATCCTGGTCCAGATTCCCTCTCCCCCATCCACCCTTGCACAGGGCCCTGGTGCCCTGCTGGCATGGAAAGAACCCAGATGTAGGCCAGTCCCTGAGCTGTGGGGACTGGATTTCTTTTTTTAAAAGATATGTTCTAGTTCAAAAAGAATTATTCTGGGTGTTTTATGGCCAGTGTTATATAGGAGCTCAGATTATATGATCACAATGGTCCCCTTCTGGCCTTGGAATCTATGAAGCTATTAACAAAATTGGAAATGGTGCAGAGAAGAACCACAAAAAATTATTTGAGAGCTGGAGAAACTGCCTTACAATGAGAAAATTAAAGAGCTCAATCTGTTAACTTGATTACAGTATACCTTCACAGGAGAACATACTGGGTAGTAAAGGGCTGTTTAATCTGGTGGAGAATGGCAGAACAAAAAAGAAGCAATGACTGGAAGAGGAAGCCAGATACATTTGAATTTGAAATAAATCACCACTTTAACAATGAGAAGGATTAGCCAGTGGGATAAACTCCCAAGGGAAAAGATGGATTCTGCATGGAATTTTCATGTCTTTAAATCCAGACTGGGTGCCTTTCTGGAAGAGGCATTAGCCAAACACAGGGGCTCAATATAGGGGTAACTAAGTGGAATTCTATGGCCTGTGACGTACGGGAGGTCAGACTGGAGGATCTAATGGTCTCTTCTGGTCTTAACCTCTATGACAATCCACATATCTCCACTTCAAGAGAGGATGGAGCCTAAATCAGAGCCTGCACAGATGCTTACCTAACAGCCAGGACATTGATGAAGTCTTTCCCTCCTTGGGGAAGCTCTGAAGGCTGATGGAGCCTAAGTTCCAACTAATGCTCACCCCACAGCCAGGATGTTGATGGGGTCTTTCCCACTCTGGGGGATTCTCTGCTTATTGGTTTATCAATTTATCAACATCCTTCTTGAATTGCGGGCACCAGAACTGGACGCAGCATTTCAGCAGCAGTCGCACCAGGGCCAAGTCATTTTCCAAGTTTCAACGATTTCTATGTTTAGTTTTCACGAAAACTCAGGCTCACAGAAATAAAGCAAATGCGAGCAACACGTTCACAGCTTTATTATTGAGTTCTTCATACTCTCCTTTAACTGAAATCCTGGTTTGGTAGCATGTGATCACTTGACAATTTAAGAGATTTTCTTGAGCTGAGATGCTTAAAGTTGGAATGGAGTCAGCTGTTCCCAAGAACCAGTTTAGAATCCATTTGGTATCTGGAGATTCATGTTCAACTCCAGGAATATATTAATCAAAATGGAAATACAATCCATAGAAATGAGTTGATATTTGGTCTTTAGTAGCATTTTGATCACTTTCACTCTTTAAAAAGCTGGACTGGAAACAACGGAACTATTTCAGTAATTTCCTTTTCAGTGTGGCTTCTTCCTGAGTCTCCTGACTTGCTCTTTCATATTGAGTATATTTGTATTCCTCCCTTGAAGTGTTCGGTTCCGCGCATTCAATTTGCCAAATACGTCCACCAGGTAAGTGATCATAGTCAAGAAATTGGTATATTACACACATACCTGCAAGATGTGAAGATGCATTGTAACACTTTCCCATGTGACAACTCCACTGTGAAACAGAAGCAAAGAGGGGTCAGAACCCATCTCCACACAGCATACTAGGGAGATATGATTGCTCTCTATAAATACATCAGAGGTATAAATGCCAGGGAGGGAGAGGAGTTATTTAAGTTAAGCACCAGTGTGGACACAAGAGCAAATGGATATAAACGGGCCATCAATAAGTTTAGGCTTGAAATTAGGTGAAGATTTCTAACCATCTGAGGCGTGAAGTTCTGGAACAGCCTTCCAAGGGGAGCAGTGGGGGCAAAAAACCCTAACTGGCTTCACAACTGAGCCTGATCAGTTTATGGAGGGCATGGTATGATGAAACTGCCTACAATGGCATGTAGCTGATGTGCGACTGCTAGTAGAAAATATCTCCAATGGCCACTGATAGGACGCTAGATGGGGAGGGCTCTGAGTTACTTACAGAGAATTCTTTCCCAGGTGTCAGGCTGCTGGATCTTGCCCACATGCTCAGGGTCTAACTGATCATCATATTTGGGGTCAGGAAGGGATTTTCCCCCGATCAGATTGGCGGAGGCTCTGGGTTGGGTTTTTTTTTTCCTTCCTCTGCAGCATGGGGCACAGGTCACTTGCAGGTTTAAACGAGTGTAAATGGTGGATTCTCTGTAACTTGAAGTCTTTAAATCATGATTTGAGGCCTTCAGTAACTCAGCCAGAGGTTAGGGGTCTATTACAGAAGTGGGTGGGTGAGGTTCTGTGGCCTGCAAAGTGCAGGAGGTCAGGCTAGATGATCATGATGGTCCCTTCTGACATTAAAGTCTATGAGTCTATCCACTATGAATTTATCAAGGATCTTGACTATTTCCTCATTGGTTGTTCAGGTTGGGATTTCTTTGCAAAACAAAAGTTATTCAGCTATTGTACTTGCTGTGACAAATCTCATATATGACAGAAGCTGAGCCATGTTGTCTGTGGATGTGGATTCATCAAGCGGCAGTGCAAAATATTTATTCTTCTTAACTTGCTCTATTGACTGGTCCTGACATTTTCTGCAAAGCCATCAATACATTGACAGATAATATCACTTGAAATAGGAATGGTTTTCAGTGCCATGGCTGCTTGTTCCCCAATCTTAATTCGACACATCTACTGCTGCTGGGAGTACAAGGGTCTCGCCAATGGTGTGTGCTTGTTTGTATTCTGCAATTCACATACTGTCAAGGTTCCTTCCCCACTCTGAACTCTAGGGTACAGATGTGGGGACCTGCGTGAAAACCTCCTAAGTTTACTTTTACCAGCTTAGGTTAAAACTTCCCCAAGGTACAAACTATTTTACCTTTTGCCCTTGGACTTTATTGCTGCCACCACCAAACGTCTAACCAATATATTACTGGGAAAGAGTCCGTTTGGAAACGTCTTTCCCCCCAAAATCCTCCCAATCCTTATACCCCCTTTTCTGGGGAAGGCTTGATAAAAATCCTCACCAATTTGTACAGGTGAACACAGACCCAAACCCTTGGATCTTAAGAACAATGAAAAAGCAATCAGATTCTTAAAAGAAGAATTTTAATAGAAGAAAAAGTAAAAAGAATCACTTCTATAAAATCTAAAAAATACCTTACAGGGTAATTAGATTCAAAACATAGAGAATCCCTCTAGGCAAATCCTTAAGTTACAAAGAGACACAAAAACAGGAATCTACATTCCATTCAGCACAGCTTATTTTCTCAGCCATTTAAAGGAATCACAA